ATTGAATTTTGCGAGTTTTGTACGTAATTTTTATTCGGTAGATACTTTATGGTATAATTGTTAGACTTAATAGAAATGCTTGAAAATTTAAAAAAAGTTCATTAAGAGTCTTACCTTGTGGTCAAAAAAAAAAAACATGAATTTAATGTAGTATTTTTTTTTTAATAAAAGAATTTTAATACCATATTTTGACGAAAATCGTTTGATTATAAAATTATGTGGAACAAATTTAATTTTTCTATATTTTTTTTTTTTTTTTTAAACATATGTGTATTACCGATTTTTGAATGGAAGTAAATTGAGCATACAGACTTAGTTTTGAAATTAATGCTTTTTGAAGTTCTGATAGCACTTTTCCTGAAAGAAAATCTGACTAGAAAGATACTTCAGGAAGATTATTTTTCCCTTTTACCAAGATTTTTCTTAGAAAATATGAAAAAACGGAAAAACATGAATAAACCAGGAAAAAACGGGAAAATCGGTACAGTATTAAATAAATATTAGTTAAGACAAAATTGAATGTCTATTTAATTATTTACCATGATATGACATTATATTGTTGACAAAGAATCAAAAGAAAAAAAAAATAGTATAATTTTAACATTATTTAAGTTTAACGTTTTTCGTTCATTATTCGAGAGTTTTTTTTTTTTTTATATATTTATAAAAGGTATTTATACTATTAATTTTATTATTGAAATACTGGTGTTTTACGATTATTTTTAAAATAAAATTACCTACACGAAATCGTTGGAACAAAATATCCAAAAAAAAACTCTGCCTGAGGAAACATCGTCAAATATGTTTGTCCGTCTAACTTTATCTGTATGTTACCATTAATATAATAATAATAACTTATATTGCGATAAAATTCGGCGTTACAATTTATGTTCCCGGCAAATCGTAGTTTTTTCCATAAATATTGTATTTTGCGATTACGTAGTGAATACTAGTGAAAACAAATCAGAATACACGTTTCGGTCAACGAATTTTGATTTATCCTTCTCGAAAGTCATTAAATTTGCCTATTACAAGCGTACCCTTAAATACCGCGGACGTGCGACGGCGTCCTATTAATATTCTATTGTGTTTGACCGGTCTAAATGAACGTTTGTTTTGTACACGACGAAGGAATAATGATGCGCGGCTATTTGAGAGGTGTAAAACTAAAAAAAAAAAAAAAAAATTAAAATAAATAAAACGTTTTCGCGTACCTACGGCATACAGATTAAATTTAATCGCTGCGGACGTTGTGTGTAAACATGTCGAGGTATTTTAGGTATTTACACGAAAAGTTATATTATTCCGGATTTACAAACCGCACCGTCATAAGGTTTTTTTTTTTTTTTTTATTGTTATTTTTTCAGATTTTAAACACTTTAACGTATACGGAATACTTAACTTTTTCTTTTCCTTCGGAGAAACTCGTAATCAGATTTGCGTTTCGCTTGAAGATATACCGAAACGTTGCGATTCTAATATTATATTTGTAGTAAAATTATAACGTTTCCAGAACGTGTCGACGGATTTACTTGCTCTAAAAGTACTTGAACACTCTTCCTAAGTAGATGCATATAATATATGTAAAAGGGGTTCGAAACGGAACGGGGATTCATACTATGGGAAGAACTGTGCCTTGTTTTTTTTTCTTTTCCGTTTAAGAGTCGGTTTAATTCTAAGAAATAACATGATGATGATGATAAGAAAGAGGAACTCATCACTATCACATCATGATTCTCGAAAAATTGTCACTATAGTTAGCCATATTTTGTATTCAAATATGACACCAGTCACTAGAAGAAATCTCTGATATTCAAATCTGTTTCCAGAACTCTCGTCGCTTCTATACATTTCTCGTTCCGTACCGTATTCCTTCGAATTAAAAAATATTATTATACTCGATTATTTATTGTTATTTACCTTATTAATAATTATTAGTTATGCTTAGTGCTTAGTTTTGTTCATGTCATAAAAATAATATTTTTTTGATTTTTAAATGGTGAAACGACGGCGGAGAGGGGGAGTGGTATCGAGCCGTCCTGTTTTCGTCCTGAAACCAAACGTGTCCCTGCGTGATAAAAATATTATTATGTTGTTCGTGTTTATTGAAAATGACAATTAAAACATATATACTTATGCCTAACATATTAGACGCCTGATATGATTAGTTTATTGTGAAAATGAATTTTCGGAATTTAAAAAACAAAAAGAAACATTAATTGTACATCTAAATACATCTATAATTTACGGCCGTTATAAATGTATAGCTTTTTTTACCGTTTTCATAATAACTATGATTTCATCGGCATCGGGTATTAATTAATTTCATGGGTTTTTTTTTTTTTTTTTTGTGAGCGTAAAATACGAGTTCAAAAATCCATAGTAATATATTTTAATGATACAGTGTAGTAAAATCGTATACAATGTTGTATTATAATTAGTTCTATTTTGTTACAAAAACAGTCTGGCCGTGTAATGTTATAACAGTGTTGATGACGCGCGTTTTCGAAATGAATTGAGTATTAGATTCCGAGCGTAGCGAGGGAGCTATTGGTTTTACAATGCTGTTTATTTTTTTTTTTTTTTTTTCATAAATTTCTTTGTTCTAGACTGCGGACACGTTTTTTTTCTAGAAAACTTGCTCCGATAAGTACGAGTAGCAACTTTTCTGAAAGCTCAAACTGTTTTTATGGTACTTTGAATAGGTTATTTTTTTTGATTTTCGACGCCATTTTTTTTATAAATAAAAGCACTTAAGTGGAACAAATGCGTAGGAAAACGTACAATTTCACGATTTTATTATTTTATAAAAACACGGACGACGTTTTCTACCAGAAAAAAATTATGTAATCGAAAAATTACAACATACCTCTTTTGTTGCCTTTCTGATTTACTTTCTTACGGTATTATCGCCGAAAAACTTTTGAACCACTTTTGAGCTTTTAAGAAATTTTATTTTTTAGGAGTGTTTTGCTGTAATTCGGTTATAAATACACGTAGAGACTTGAAACTTGTTAATAATACTTAAATTGGACTTACTTAGACGTGGTAAAATGTTTAAAATCATCGAACGATTTTTTAATTTAATTTTTTCCACGTTTTTTGTCCAGTAATTTTTCGGTCTCTAACGTAGTCTATGAACTGATAGTTTCCCATATATACCCTACAATGCCTGTCATATGCGCAACTAGTCCACCAATTTTGGGGGTGCTAATACTATGGACACATCACATCACAGACCTATACTGTCAGGGACTATGGAAATGCAATGCCTCAACAATTCCATCTACACGAGCAATAAACATTTCAAATTTAGTATAAAAATGCATCATAACTTTGTACACATACATTTATTGTCTGTAAGTAATCTGTATTTTAGATTCTGAGTTAAGCGAAGAATGTATTGATTTTACAAAGATGTTTATTTTTCATTTTTTTTTGTATGTGAATACTTTTTCTACCAAAAAGCTTACTCCGATTATCAAGTATAACATCATTTCCGAAAGGAAATGTTCCCTGGGTGGTATTTTAGAGAGGTTAAAATTCTCATTAATATTCGAGATAATGAAGAAAACCTGGTTCTTTAGGTTAAGAAAGATTGAAAGAATAAAACTAAAGTTGTTATTAGCAACCGTTTTTATTTATTATTTGTTATTATTAGGTTTTTATTATTTTAATCTTTTTTAACAACGATTGTTGTCATTAAACACACATCGTTATAATCATTTTACCATAATATGATATAATAATATAATATTGTTGACAAAGCAACACTATTAACTGAACTCCACTCAGAATTGTTTTTTCGTTAACAATGGGTCATTGTTGCTCACAGATATACATACAATTTCAGTCTGTATCATACTTTCTTAAATTCTTACCTACAACAGTGGCTGCACCCGAGTGCGAAGTTTTTTACTCATTTTTTATTCTGATAATTAATTATTATGAAATTCTTGGAAAAAATATTTAGTTGACAATACAAAAAAAGCCCATTGGGTGTTATAAGGTGCCTTGGTTTTAAAATTTAGAGTGTTAAAGACTCTTTACATCTCCCTAGTTGGGCATATGCTGCCTGTATAGTTCCTGTATAAGACAGCATATTGTTGGACAGAGATAGAGAATGTTTAGGAAAATCGTAGAAGACAGCCCGTGATATGAGAGAGAACGATTGAGTTTATTCTTTCAGCATTTGTCTAGTTCTCGGAAAGAGCTTTGCCCATGATTGAAATATTTCCATCATGATCCGCAATGACATTGGTTATATATGCGTAAAAATTGGTAATCGTTCCGTTTCCGTGGTATTCAATTTTTCCTTCTATGATAGCTCAATGTTTGCGTGTGCTCACCTAACCATGTTGGAACTCAATTAATTGATTTTAACAACCGAGTTGCAATAAACAAAATAATTAATTTGTTATTGCCAATATTTTTTCCGGTTTCCCAGCGTTTCTTGGCGACTATTAAGAAAACTGCAATAAAAATCAAAAAAAGACATCCACGTAATCAAATTATGGATCCATAATGCTAAAAAACAAGCTCCTTTTGACGTTTTTCGTTTGGATCAAGATTTCCGGTAGGAGAATTGCTCGTAGACACAAAAAAAAAAAAAAAAACACACACACATAATAGGAAAACCTTAAATCTCTAGTTAAGTTTAAAATTTAAAAATTTAAAATATCGCAGCACATTTTGCGGTTATAAATAGTTCGGTACATAATATATCACGTAAATTTTGCGTCCGAGTTAATTCGATTTTCAAACGTTACAAACACCCACCACTCTCCTCCCCTCTCTCTATAAGTTTAACGTATATTATTTTAGCGAGTCGGATAAAAGTTTCCGAGTCTGGAGTATACGTACGTATATATATATATACACATAATATAATAATACGCGTTATACATAAAGATTATAAGAAAATGCGAAATCTCTGTTGTGATATTTGCGTGGGCGCGTAAAAAAAAAAAAAAATATTATTTTAATGGGATCGCGTCCCGGTATCACGAAATGAGGGGGGGGGGGGTAAACATGTCGTTATTATTGTATGGCTACACGAAGACGCGAGATACATTTTTAAGATATACTGCGCTAGTCGAGATATCGCGGCATTTTCCATTTTTTCTTCTCTCACAAAAAAAAAAACGACGCATCGCGAGGAACAAAAAAATATGTGTTCAAACTCCGCGACGTATACAATAATAATAATAATAATAATACGCGTTCTAACGGACGGGATTTTTTTTTTTTTTTTTTTTTATCTCTAATATTATTTATTATCGACAACGACGTCTTTCTCCCGAGAGACTATGCCGCGCCGTCCCCGTATTAAAATACTTACACGCGTAGTAAATCGTATATTATCGCACTCGCATAACATTATCACCGCCGTCGCTACATTATTATATACTTATTATCAGCGTTTCGGGTATAATACAACGACACGGGACTATATAATTACTGTTTTTTTTTTTTTTTTTTTTTATTTCGAAACAATACCGTCACGCGTATATGGTCAGACAAGGGAGTCATAATATTATGTGTATAGACGGAACAAAATTGTATAAAGCGCGGTGTTACACCTGACGGTCTGACATCCGAAATAACCGTTGTCGTGTTTAATATTTTAAATTCTGAGCGGAGCCAACCAATGTATCGGTTTTACAATGTTTATTTTATTTTCTGCGGACGACTTGTATACCAGTAGTTTTACTCCGATTTTCAATTATAGCACTTTTTCTGAAATTAATCCTAACTGAGATGGGATGTACTTCAAGAAGGTAATTTTTCGATTTTCCTAGGAGTTCTCCCAATAAATGGGAAAAACCGGGAAAAAACTTATAAGAAAAACGGGATAACAGGTACAATATTAAACAAATATTATTAAAGAAAATATACATCGAATGCATATGTAATTATTTTACCATAATATGACAAATATAAAACAATATGGTTGATAAAGCAAAATTGTTAACCGAACTCCCTTCAGAATCGTTTTTCGTTATTAATGGTTAACCGTTGCGTATAGTGATATACATTGAATTTCCCCTGTACCTTCCTCATTTCTCACATACAAGGCTACAACAACAACGGTCTCGTATATCAGAACCTCGTACTTAAATATCTCTATTTTGAATTGTTTATATTTATTTGAAACCTCAAAAATTATTATAAACACGCAAAAAAATAAATATAAAATTGAGCGTTTTATTGTATATGATTTCGAAAACAAATTTCGATGTCGCGAATTATTTAATAATGACGAATCGTTTACTCCCTATGACGTTTTTGAAGTTTATGATTGTTTCCATGTCACACTACCTAACAATATCGATGATTTACCATTTTGTCCGTGAAAAATAATTTTGTTAACAGTATACTGTATAAACTTCAAAACATTGTCGAAACAAACAACGATTCATTATTAATAAATATTCGTAACACCAACATTTTGTTTCAAAGTATATACTATAAAATAGCTTTCTTGGATTTTGAAAAACTATATAAAATAGAGGAACCATAGTGTAAGTCATTACTACAAGAAAACAAAAACAAATCAAAAATAATAAGGTGTTTATGCACGGAACTTCAACATGTTCACTTGTAAACGTTGAAAATGGTGACGCTAAATCTTAAAAAACAAGGTATTTCATTGATAAAAACTACAATTTAAAATTTTGTTAACAGATAAAATTTATATGGATTTTAGAAGAAGATTTTTGAAAACTATTCTTCTTTCTTGTTTCGTAAATACATTACAAAAATAATGTTAAAAATAATATTAATACAGTAAAACTTCCGTTAACGTGCACCTCTAAATAGCGATTATTATTTCCGGTGCTTTCGGTGACCGTAGCACGGAAGTTTTACTGCACTTTAATAACGATCACACCCGTGAAATTTAAAAAAAATGCATCGCTAGTGATAATAATAATCCGATACGTGACTAAAAAGTGTCAGAATTATGTTTTTTAAAAATATCGATAAGCGCTCGACAACAGCGCCTTTAACCGCGACCGGTCGTTCTCACAATAACGATACGAGCCGGACAATATAAAATACGAGCGCTCCGTAAAGAAATATTGCCTTTACGCAAAAAAAAAAAAAAAATGCATTTGATTTCTTTTGAAGAAACCTGATAAAATGTTTTAAACTGAATACTCGTGTAACAATTAATGAACAGTAGTAATTTTAATAATATGTGAGTAGCATTGTCGTTTAACACAATAAATGTAAAACTTGCTCTTCTTTTATAGCCGGGCATGCGTCGCTTACAAGCTGGCTTGCCCACGACGGCACGCCACTTTTAGATACGCCGTGTTATTGGATATTCGATCGTAAAGTTTTCCGTCGACAAATCTAAGCACACCGAACGATTAACCGCAAAATTTAATAAACAACAGTGGCACGAACTCATTTTGATACAAAAATATAATATCACCGCTAAGACGTAAAAGGTGTTGCTTTTCAAGCGACAAATTAATGTATAGCTCGGAGATTTTATGCCAAACCACCGTTCTACACAGCGTATAGACTGTGCGAAATGATTTACTATAGCCACTTACAAACAAAAAATAAAAGGCATTTTAAATATTCCCTAACTAATACGATAAAACTTCGCTGTTACCCCCGTGCGTACGGCGTTTGATATTTAAATGAGCGATGATTGTACCGCTTTAATTTTATCGTGTGACGGATCGTATTAAATGCATACCGTTTTTGTATACACAGTGCGTTCCCGTTTACCGACTACACTGAATATTTCGCCCTGAAAACCTCGGATTTAAATTTTTTTGGAAAACCGATAAAATTCATATTTTCAATTAATACAAGATGGCTGTATCTTAATAAATGGTGTATAAGATAAAAAAAATTGTATTAATCAAAGTCGCTTGAAAAAATAGGACTTTTCGAATCCAGCGTCGGAAAAAGGTATTAATATTAAAAAAAAAAAGTGATTTTTATTGCACATGGGCGTGAACTGAAAGGATTGAACAATTTTAAATTTAACTTTAGAGGTATATATACAACAGTACCCTATATCGACTGGAAGTTAAATCCAAGGTCGTTCGGTCGAAATATTTTGTTACCTGGAGACGCAAACACGCTGTATATTAAAAAAAAAAAAAAAAACTTTTATTTGTTTCACTTCAAAGTGCGTGCTGTGTTTAAATGTATATTATAATATTAGGTCGGTGTACCTATATACACGTTATGTCGTTGAAATTAATTTGTATGTCAAAAGGGGGAAAAAAAATGGTAAACAGCGTGTACCTACGTTTACGGCAGTGTCACAACGATTAACATAATATTATTATTATTTACCCATTAAAACGAAAAAGAGATCAACTTACATAATATTATGGGCATTAAATATTCAAAACGTATAAAAAAAAAAAAAAAAAAAAAAAAAACACGACAAGCGGTACTGCAGACATCCCAAAACCGTTAATTATTGTGTTCGAGTGATTCAAATCATGATTTTTTTTTTCTGTACAAATTAAAATACACAATTACATTCTTAGGGTTAAACACAGAGTATGATAATATATAACTTGAGCTCGACTCTTAACCACCGCAACGCTTTCAGACAGGGAATTCTTCATAGGGTCGGGAGGGGGCATTGACTCCGGGTGTTACATTTTAAATGGGCATCATGGTCATTTAAGACATCGTAAAACAGTAGTTTATTTTCTAATTTGAGCACGGTGAGCAACTCATAGGTTTTACTATGGTGCGTTATTGATTTGGAGCGATTTTTACAATGATGTTTCTTAATTTTTCTTGTTTAATACTTTTCTACTGAAAATTTCGCTCCGATTTTCAAGTGTTGTATTTTTCTGATAGAAAATTGAACTAGAGTGGTACTTTAAGGAGGTAATTTTTCGATTTTCTCAAAGATTCATATAAAAGATCGGAAAAACTAAAAAACAACATAGGGAAAACTAGAAAATGTACGAAATGTATTATCAAATTATTTCAAATCGTAAATTTAAAACACGTACAACCGAACTCCGCTCAGAATAGTTTTTCTTTAGTATAACGAATAATCCTTTTGCTCATTAAATTTCCCTACTACCTTTCCAACTTCTCACCTAAAACAGTGGCCCTCTCTATGTAAGAAGTATGTCCGTTTGGTTTTTTTAATGTTTGCTAATAAATTTTCTACCAACTAAAAATATTAATCATATTTATTTCAAGTGTAACATCTTTTTTTAAATAAAAATTGTATCTAATTGGCTATTGGCTCCTGCCATTTTCGAGTATCATTTTAGTTTTACAATTGTTTTGACCGAGCAGAAATATTTGAACATTTTACAAGAGTTTCATTATCAGATATTATTTAGTATTTAAGTAAAAAGTATTGAGCGTTTATTGGTAGTTTTTTTTTTGTATAATTTAAATATCCCTATGTATTTTACCTTCTTATTTCCCCACATATAACAGTGACACGTCCGTCAACAATATCAGCTCTTTTTTAATTTGTATCAACCACACTCCACAATTAACACTCGTTCAGCATGGCCTGGAATAGTGTGTATTTTAGAGCACAAAGTGTGAAGATCGAAATTTCAATGTGTTATTATCGTATTTCCGACAAAACAGAACGCTTTGATCAATAAGTACTCTACGTAATGAATAATCGGATGTAAATATAAATAAATTGCAGCCGGTATCTGTATGTTGTCAAACCGCGTGTGCTGCAGTTGACGGTACCAATTGAGCCACGTGATATAGTTAATATTATATTTTATATATTTATATTACGGCATTTTATCGACACACATACACACGTTCGGTCGGTCAGCCGTTTGCTAATAAAATATAGGTACGGTCTCGGTAAACGCGCCAGTAAAAAGGTCATGCACAGGGTGTGCAGTAATACGTGTGCGTACGTGTATCCGTCCAGCCAATCGATTTCATCCCCTCGGCTATCGCCCGCGAGCAATTCTTACACGGTCGTACATGTTATACCCGATAGTCTGTACAGTCGGTAATATATTACATATAGAGTCTGGCCGACGGATTTATAGACACTGCTGTCGTTTCGCGGACCAGGTGAAAATACCGTATGAAAACGGTTATAGTGTATCTAGGAATACACGTATATATAGTAATCAATATGCGAAAAAACCGAATGAATCCAAAAACAGTCCCAGTCGGAATGTATCCTCTTCGTTACAGAATCCGAAAAAATTCCCGCCGTAACATATAGATGTTTGGTCCAAGATAAGAAACGCTTAAGTCAATTGTGTGTAGTTTTCAATAGAAGCAAATTGTTGACAATATCAACGCTAATATACAAGGCATGCATTAATTTTGAAAATACATACATACTTATGACGTTTAGATAAATAACAATATAGATAAATTACATAAAAAAAATGTTTTTTAAAAAAATGCCAACATTCGTCTTCCCTAGAACTTAAAGGTATAAATTATAATGCATATATATAAAAGTATAGGTAAGATATTCCGCTTTCACGGTTTGTGACGGAAAAACTTACACTTACCACAGACGGAATTATAAGAATAAATTGTGTCCCAAAATCGCTCGGATAGTAACAGAATATTAGTCTATCTATATATAATTACTCGGCGTTAAAGTCTACACTCCGTCAAATCGCATACACTCAACCGTCACCGGATCGCCAGGAATATCATTCAATGCGATAACTCAACAAACTTTTCAATATCTTTGTAAACAAACTTACTAAATGTATGCAAAAAAATATAAAAAAAACAATTCGTTTTTCGAACTTCTCTGGAACACAGAACAAATATAACCCACACGGCCACGTCGCGCTAATATTTTGAAACGGGTCAATACAGTTTTACAATCAATTCCGCTTGATTTCCGCACACTCTTACAATTCTCCTTCAGAAACAACAAATCAAAGTAAGCGGAACATAAAAGACGTTTTGTATCCAAGAGTCACAATCGAAATATATAACAACACAAATCTACGCATAAATTTTGCCAGATATCGTTGCTATAACATTTTAATGTAATGCGGGGCGGAAACTCTACGCTAGACGTTATTTCTTAAATTGTTTAAAACCATCAAAATATTTTATTTTTACATATTCGTGCATGCCAGGTGGTTTCAAAATATTATATTATATACCTATATTATTATATTAATATGCGGATTACATCTTTATTTTTTTTTCAAATCTAATCCGTTTGAAAGAAGAGAAACAGTGAAATATAAAAGGCCGAAAAAATGTCATTACAATGTAAGTATATATTAATAATAATAATAATAATAGACCCCAAAACTTTTTGAAACTAATATCGTTGACTGTGCGCCGTTCCGGCACAGTAATTTCCGCCAAAAAAACAAAACGGTATACAATTGTCTCGGATGCAGGAACACCGACAGCAATGTATAGGTATAGATAGTGCTAAAATGAAGTTATACAAAAGTGTGAAAAGTGTAATCTAAGTAAACGATATTGAATTTCATGCAAAAATAATGGGTCGCCACATGCGCGGTTTTTAAGTTCTTCCACAGCCTGTACTGAATTTAGAAAGCTGTATACCTACTAGTGGTTTATGCGGTTGAGTGCAGTGAGACATTATGTATTCGTTTAACTATAATGAGGTTTTTTTTTTTGTAAATGTGAACAACTTTTCTACTAGAAAGCTAAGTACGATTTATACAATGGAGATCTTTCTCTGAAAGGAAATTTTCTTGGGGTGGTACTTTAGGGAAGTAATTTTTCGATTTTCCCAGAAGTTTTCTCAATAAATGTGAAAACCTGAGGAAAAACGGTAAAATATAAAAAATCTAGGTAGGTATTAGTTAAAAAAATTTCGGCCTTCTTTTTTTCCTGTGAATAACTTTTTTACCAACAATAACCTAACAACCTAACATAACCTAACCTAACCAATCCGACTACAATGTTTCTGAAAGAAAATCTGACTATGAAACTTAAAGAGAGGTCATTTTTTTATTTTCTCGAGAGTTTTCTCAACAAATGTAAAAAACCTGGAAAATTGGTACAATATTAAACAAATATTATTAAAGAAAATATAAATTTCCTATTTAATTATTTTAGCATACTATGACATATTATGTATTGTTGACTTAGCACCACTATTAACTGAATTCCGATCAGAATCGTTTTTTCGTTATCAATGATTTATCGAGGTGATTTTAATTTTAAAAAAAAAAAAAAAAAACCGATAAGCCGATAACCGATGTGGTCGGACGTTGTACGGAATTAGGATACATTAAAGATATCGTAAATAAGTTCGTTTAACGAAATTCTTTATAATGACTCGAAAAAATAAATAAATTCAAAATCAATTTTACTCGAAATCTTTGTAGTTAACCGTTGGATCGTAATAAAAAAAAAAAAAAAAATGTCAAATATAATATTTGACGAGATTAATTTCTCGACATTTATAATATTGATAAATTAACGCCGCCAGGCACCGACTTTTCCCGCGCGTATAGTTGTTTATAATAATAAATTAATCATTTGACACTTTATAGGTTATATATGCGCTCGAAAATATTATTATTTTAAAGTCTCCCGTCGGAATAATAATTAAATAACAATATAACGCGTTCGAATTATCATAATAATTAATATTACGATATTATTATAATCCACTTTCGTTGATACGGCGAAAAAAAAATTGCCTGATAATAATTAATAATTTAATAGAACGGGGTGCGCGACTTAATTTTGAATTCGAGAAAATAAGTAAGTAGGCACCTACTCACCTATATACTCTTGTATCATAGTTAAAATTAATTAAATTTTTTTTTTTTAAATTTCGTTATAACTGTGGCTAAACGATATTTTTAAATAAACAAAATACATAATATAATATTATGTTACAGTTAAAACTCGAAATCCGTCAAAGTCTAGTTTCCACAAATATCATGTATGAAATTATTGTACCTATCTTGAATGTGTTTTTTTGGTAATTTTAAAATTATCAATTTGTTTTCTTCGTCCAATCTTCTGTACGATAAGACTTTTCCTTATATTTTGTTACAAATTATATCATTTTTTACGGGACAGCTATACGGTATAATAACGAAGACAATTTATTTTATTTTATTTTATTTCCCATTTAATCGGATCAACCGCGACGGCCCGATATTTTAAAAGTACCTATTGTTGACCAGTGAATACTGGCAACCGCACGGTTATCTTAACGTTGTAAAGTTTTCTAGAGAAAATAGATAATCATTAAAGTATATATGCACCTATATATTATGTATAAAAATAAAACCGTTTAAAGTTTTCCCGGACGAAGAAAAAAAAAATCGAGATTTTTTTACCCGTATTATAATGTACCAGAACCGTTGTGCAATCTCGTTTTCAAAAAGAATCTAAAAGTAAGATACGAATTAAGTACCTACCTATTTATGCGAGTAAAAACGGTGTGGCATGAGTACAAGTTTTTTAGTATTATTTCGTTTTCCCTAGACCAGTGTGACGTGCCCAGAAATTTTCAATGAAAGAGTATGTAGTAAATAATAATCAAGATTCATGAATAAATCGCAGAATTTTCTTTGGTCTAAGTTGAATTAAAAAAAAACAATTTCCATTAAATAAATTAAGCATTTTTTTCTTTGTGATTTTGAAAAAAAAATAATTTAATTTCAAGATAAAATTACTAAATAAAAACCCGTAGTTGTTAGGCAGCTGAGAGGGAGGGGGTATAAGCCCTAACCTTTCCCCCACCCACTATGTACGTCACCGCCTCCGGCACAGGGATTTATTATTTTATTTATAAAAATATACTTTATTAACAAACTTATATGAAAAAACTAAAAAAAGGAATGGCAATTAGAACTGTCTTATACGCGTGTACATTATTACCTCGAAAACGATAATAACTGTAAAACGAAAGTATCATTAATTTATTGTAAAATTAATATTAAAATATAAAAACGGGCATTTACTTCGTAAATGATAAGCTCGTGTGAATGCAACTATTGTTGTTGTCGAAAAATTGAGATAATAGAGAAATTGAGACACACAAGATTTTTTTAAATTCTTATCTTTAAACATTGATAAACTATTGCTAACTAATTTTTATTTTTAGATTAGAGTAAAATTCCTGGTAGAAAATTTGTTCATAAAAAAAAAAAAAAGTACAAGAATACTTTGCACGAAGAATGGGCTACTGTTGTAGATGAGGAGTTAGGAAAGTAGGATATAGAGAGGAATTCAATGTATTTTTAGAATATTTGTTTTTACGTAAAAGCAAATATAGGTATTAGGTATGTATAAATAATTCGTTAATTTACATTTTTTTTTTTAAATTTGTTAATTTTTTAAATGAGTTTATATTTATATTTTTTTAATCCCTTAGGTCATATATTTTTCTATTTATATACATTACATAATTAATGTGCAATTTGTTTAAAACATAAAAAATAAAAGTAAAAAATACCAAAACATCCTTGAATCGTCTACATAAACTATATTATAATTTATTCCGTATGCTGTACTTTTTTTAGTTACTAAATAGTTTTAAAAAAATTGTGAAAAACTGAGTTGAATATACGGCAATTACGATTTGGAAAAAATAATAGCACATTTGGAAAAGTCTTATGCCTGTTTGCACCAATTTATATTAAAACTCGTCTCTGATAAACTTAATTTAGAGTTTAGTAATTCTTAAATTAATTGACAATTATGATTTTTGTTGTACTATTGATGTTTAGGATTCTTGGGTAAACACTTGTGTTTGGTAGTAATCTTAATAGATTTTCATAATTATTAATTATTGTGAACTGAAGTATTTAAAAATCTATAAAAATCATATACCATAAACATCAAATCATCTTCATTTTTTTTTTTTTTTATAAGTAAATTTTTTTAGATATTCCATAACAATGATAAATACTTCATCGACGGGTAAATAAACATGCATGCAACAATAAATTGACTGCGAACAAAAACAAAACTAAACAAAAATTAATTTATTCCTACTATAATATTATTGTAGTTTGTAAATTATATTCAGTATTTGAATTATGGAAAACGTATTTAAGGAATATTTAAATATTAAAATATATATACATAATATTTAAGCCACGATTGAACCGC